TCAGGTGTGTCCCAGGTAGACGCAGTCGAGCCTGTCGAGGTAGGTGTTGACTCTGGTGCTGCTAGGGGTGCTGAGCCTGGGGGTGCTGAGCCTGGGGGTGCTGAGCATGGGGGTGTTGCGCCTGGGGGTGCTGAGCCTGGGGGTGTTGAGCCTGGGGGTGCTGCGTCTGGGGGTGCTGAGCCTGGGGGTGCGGAGCCTGAGGGTGCTGGGCCTGCTCGTGTGGAGTCTGGCGGTACTGGGTCTGGAGGTCCCTCGGGTGCTTCGTCCCGGCGGGAGCTACCCTCTCCACAGGAGCTGCGCGAGTGGTTCGCTCGGCGCTGGAGCCGTGCTGCTGGAGCTGGAGGTACTGCTGGAGCTGGAGGTTCTGCTGCTACTGAGGGTGTTGGTGCCACGGGTCCCGGAGGTGCTCGTACTGGAGGTACTGGAGCTGCTGGGCCTGGGGGTGCTCCTGGTACTGGAGCTGCTGGCGGTGCTTCTGGAGCAGGTGCTACTGGAGGTGCTGGAGCTGTGGCTGTTGAGTCTTCCAGTGGTCCGGCTGGGGCTGGAGCTGCTTGGGGTGTTCGCGCTGGAGGTGCTGCTGGCGCTGGTGCTTCTGCGGGTACTGGAGTTGGCGGTGCTGCAGCTGGGGGTACTACTGGTGCTGGTGCTGCCGCTGGGGGTGCTGGTGCTGTCCCTGCTGGCTCTGGAGGCGCTGCGCGGCCGCGACCATACTTCGTTCTGCTCCTTGAGCAGGTTCTTCGTCTCCCGCCTTCTGCTGGTCCTGCTCCTTCCTTAGAGTGTCCGCCGCCTGTCCAGGCTGAGTCGCAGTTACAGCCCGCCTCCCCACTGCCTGCTCCCTCTCCCTACACTGGTCCTACTGGAGGTCTTGCTGAGCGTCGTGAGCCTGAGTCTCGTCCTGCGTCGCCTGTTCGTGCTGCTCGCACTAGTAGTCATGTTTCGCGTCCGCGTCCTCCTGCGGTCCCAGGCACACACCAGATGGCACTACGTCCTTCCACTGCTCCACTGCGTCTCCCGTTGCCGTCTCCTCCAGAGTCTTCTCTTCCTGCTCTTGCTGACCCGGCATCTGACTCTCTTCGTGCTGCCAGTCCTACTGTCACGCGTCTTCTGGCTACTGTTGTCACTGACCCTTCCTTTGAGTCCACTGCTGCGTCTGCCCTAGTTGCTGAGCTTGTCGACTTTGCTGCTCGCTGTCGTCTAGACTACGCCGCTAGTCTTGTTGCTGAGTCTGAGTCTGTCTGTCCTCCGTCCGTCGGGGGTGAGTGTGCTCTTAGCACGGACGTCCTTGAGGACAGGCAGGAGGAGTTCCAGTGTTTTGCTGCTGCTTTGCCTCATCTCGTGTCCATGCTGATTACCCCTAAGGGAGACCCGGATGCACCAGACATCCCGACTCCTCGATCGTACGCTGAGGCGATCGAGGGTCCCTACTCCTCACAGTGGCAGTCAGCCATGGACGCAGATATGGCTTCCTGGAAGGCCACAGGCACCTACGTCAACGAGGTTCCCCCACCTGGGGCGAGCATCGTCAGTGGCATGTGGATTTTCAGGGTGAAGCGGCCGCCGGGTTCTCCGCCTGTCTTCAAGGCGCGGTACGTGGCTCGAGGCTTCAGTCAGCGGCAGGGAGTTGACTACTTTCAGACCTTCTCTCCCACCCCGAAGATGACCACTCTTCGGGTGCTGCTGCACATAGCCGCTCAGCGCGACTACGAGCTTCACTCTCTTGACTTCAGCACTGCTTTCCTACAGGGCAGCCTGCACGAGGAGATCTGGCTGCGCCGCCCACCTGGCTTCACTGGGTCGTTTCCTCCTGGTACCCAGTGGAGCCTCTGGCGGCCAGTCTATGGTCTCCGCCAGGCGCCCCGTGAGTGGCACGACACACTGAGGACTACACTTGCGGCTCTTGGGTTTGCTCCTTCTACTGCCGACCCGTCGCTGTTTCTACGCACCGACACCTCTTTGCCGCCGTTCTACATCCTCGTGTACGTCGACGACTTGGTCTTTGCCACTGCTGACACTGCTGGACTCGCCCACGTGAAGTCCGAGTTGCAGAAGAGACACACGTGCACAGACCTGGGTGAACTGCGCAGCTACCTTGGCTTGCAGATCACCCGGGACAGAGCACAGCGCACCATTACCCTGACTCAGTCACACATGGTGCAGCAGGTCCTTCAGCGCTTCGACTTCACGTACTCCTCGCCTCAGGCCACTCCTCTGTCTACTCGCCACTCGCTCTCAGCTCTGCCTTCGGATGAGTCCGTAGAGCCGAGTGGCCCGTACCCAGAGCTTGTTGGCTGCCTCATGTACCTGATGACCTGCACTCGACCTGACCTTGCATACCCTCTTAGCATCTTGGCACGCTATGTTGCTCCTGGGAGACACCGACCAGAGCACATGGCTGCAGCGAAGAGGGTGTTGCGCTACTTGTGCAGTACGTCGGGCATGGGGCTAGTGCTTGGAGGGCGGCGTCCAGTGGTCCTCACTGGTCACGCAGACGCTTCTTGGGCTGACGACCAGGCTACGCAGCGGTCGTCACAGGGTTACACCTTCAGCCTTGGTTCCGGCTCTGTTTCGTGGCGGTCTACCCGCTCGTCTTCTGTTCTCGGCTCCAGCTGTGAGGCTGAGATCTACGCAGGGGCCATGGCTGCACAGGAGCTGCGCTGGCTCACCTACCTGCTGACTGACCTAGGAGAGCCGCCTCGTTCTCCTCCAGTTCTGTACGTAGACAACAAGGCCATGCTGGCCTTGTGTCGGGAGCACAGACTGGAGCACAGAACGAAGCACATTGCCCTTCGCTACTTCCTTGCTCGTGAGCTGCAGCAGCGTGGTCAGCTGCGCCTTGCTTACGTGGCCTCTCAGGCCAACACTGCTGATATCTTTACCAAGGCACTTCCGCCTTGTGATCATCAGCGCTTTTGTACGATGCTAGGTCTTGTGCCTACTTGGCCTCACTTGCTCACTTCTTGACCTTGCTTGTACTGTGATCTATCTATACCTGCACTTGCTTGTTTACCTTTATATATGATCTTGCATGTGAACTGGCCTTGTGGCCTTGAACTTGTGCTCGGAATGTGTGGTGACGTTGTGATCCACCCTGAGCTTGCTTTGCTTGACTGGTCTTGTGATCCCTTGCTCTCCCCCACTTTGCCTATGGGGGTGTGTCAGACTTATATGATCTAGCCTGTGTAGGCTGCAGTGGATAAGATTCTAAGGGGTACACAATTCTAGGGTTTCACATTTGTATCACACTCATTCCTTAGTCAATCATTCTTCGTTCTTTCACATCGAGATTAGAAGGAGGGATTGGAAAACGTGAAGGAAGGTGGTTTGGTTGGAGTTTGGAAGGCCCAAAGGTTGGGAGGGGAAAGATGCTACAGTGACAAGCAGCTTGGCCAATGCCAAACCCTAGCTTGGTTTGGTCGCACCCCTACCTTATGGTGGTACACCACCTCGACCACCCTATCCTCCAAGGAAAACGGATTCACTAAAACCTACAGCAAGGGGGAGTGTTGGAAATCCGAATACAGTATAACGAATATTGTATACCAGTGTGCTGTTTGGTTTTAGTGTAGTCCTCTTTATAAGCTTTCAGGTCCTACAATAATTGTCACAATTATTGTAGGGGCCACAATTATTGGAGTCCAGCATTATTGGAGGGTAGAGGGTACAATTTGTTGGAATAACCGAAAGGTTATTATAAACATTCCCGAAGGTTCTTCACTCCCGCGTCACTCCATAACGAAGCGCACGCCTGTACCAGTACCGCAATAGCTCATATAGAGCACGCGGAAGGTCGAGGGTCACCCGAAGGTCAACAGTCCAAGACAGTCAACGGTCGTGACCCTCGACTGTCCAGTAACCGCACGAGGCAGTTGCGAAGTGCGACATGGTAACTGTCTAGAATGGCAATAGTCGTGGGTTACTATAGCAATGCAATTCAGTTAATAAGGGAATGTACCCCTCAGAGTACATGGCTAGCTAGGAATGCTATTTATATCCTTGTACTTCCGTCTTATCTTCATCTTGTTCTCTTTCAAATTCTCATCAACAAGGTCACCACAGAGACTTCATTGTCTCCTCCCAGACTTAGCAGATCTTATCCTATCTACTTGATCCTTTGGTTATATCAACACAATTATTGGTACACCATTATTGGTGTGAATGGGGTCATTCTGGAGGGGTAGCTGGATGCATATATACCCTGCTGTGTCACTTCTTCATTATCATTGAGTTATCATTGTGTCATCCTTCTACTTTTCAATGATCAATGCAAGATTTCTATCTTGTTCTTTTCTACAAACACGTTTCCGCTACGCCGGCACTATGAATTTCTAGCATATAGTTTCAATATATGCAGCCATGCTCATTACCTTCATTTGCCGGTTCCAAGAATTCTTCCTCCATTCAAAGGGGAAGATTTTGTAATCAACATAGCTTGTGCTACGAACAAATTTTAGTGCACCTACTTCATCTCCAATCTCTCTTAACGAATCTCTCCCGAGGTTGCTTGTGGTGTCGTGCCTCGCAGCCCTTGGCTACTCCAAACGAGCCCTCGATGATGCTTTCAGTTTGGTGGTCCGCCCCTCCAATCCATTCCCATTTCCTTCCTCCACACTCCATCCATTTCTCTTTTTCACCCTCCTCAGACCCTCTCCCTTGCCAATCGCTGTCATGTGCCTTCCTTCCCTAGCTCATTCCTGCACAAACCAGTTAGCCAGCGCTGTCCCATAAACCAGGCTTTTGCGTTTCATCTGGGATCAGCTTCTGGTTTCTGTTTTACGTCGTGCCTCCACCCAGTAATTCATCGCCGCGTCGTCCATCTGCTCGTCGACGCTCGCGAATCCTCGTCGTCGTTGGTTGTGCACTCCTACGCTCGCTCTTTTTTTGCCACAATTCTCCCGTCGCCACCCAGCGTCTGTTCGGCTACATCACGCGGTCCCTAGGCTCGTACATGGAATCGGACGGCGAGGCGACTCTGCCTCGCGCGCCCGACTGCTGAAGCTTTTATGGAAGGTAGCGGTGGCCGTAAGAGGGCTGAGGCAGCAGCAGCGGCTGCGCAGGAGAAGGAATCCTCCGCGCGGAGCAGATTCCGCTCCCGCCACCATCTGCGCTCCGCCGTCACCGCGGGTGGCTCGTCCGTTCCTGTTTCTTCATCCTGGTTTCGCGTCTCGTCGTCGTCTCCGTCGGCTGTTCCGTCTTCGTCGGCCGTCGGCCGTCGGATTGCTCTTCACCAGTCGTCCGCGCCGGCCGCAAAGCGCGCTAAGACATCCGCTGCCGCCGCCGCCGCAGCTGTTTATCCCCCGATCTCTCGCACTTCCGCGTTTCTCGTATCTCCCCCGTCCGTATCCGCACAACCCTCTGCGCAAGTTTCTTCCGCGCGTGCGCGCCCGTCCGCTTTCTCCCCGCCCTCCGCAAAGCGGCTCACCAGTCGCGTCACTTTCGCTGCGCCCCCGTCTTCCGCTCATCGCGCGGAATCTCGCGACTCGCATCAGGCGAAATCACGCGCTGCCGCGAAAGCTGGTGCGACCGCTGCGACAACCACAGCGTCGTCGCGTGGTGCGAATACCACTAGCGCCATCCTCACTCGTCCCGGTTCCGCTCCCCTTGTGGGTGCTGCGGCGGCTGGTCTCGCCAGTACCGCGGGTGCAAAGGCGAGTGCACGTGCCCCTGCTGTGAGCGCTTCCGCAGGTGGCGCAGTTGGCGGAGGAGTAGGCGGAGCGAGCGGAACTGTTGGTGGTGGTGACACTGCAAGGGGGAGCATGGATAGAGGTTTCTTCAAGTCGTTTGGGCACGAGGAGGGATCCAGAAGCAAGCGCTCCTCCGAGAGAGAAAAGGAGAAGGAGAAGGAGAAGGAGGAGAAGAAGGAGAAGGAGAAGGGAAAAGAGAAAGAGCGGGAGCGGGAGCGGGAGCGGGAGCGTGAGAGAGCGAGGGACAGGGAGCGCGAGCAGGAGAGGGAGGCGGAGGATGGAGGAGGCGACGACGGGGACGATCTGTTTCTAGGACCCGGTGGGCTGCTGTCAGGCCTTGATTCCGATGGCGATGGGGACGCCGCAGCAGCAGCAGCTCTCAGACAGTCATTCACGTCGTCTGCTGGTACTGCTCTGGAGAGTTTGCTCCGCCGCTTCTCCGTCTCCATTGATGACCTCCTCCCGTCTCCGTCCGCGCCTGGCGCCGCCGCAGGAGCAGCAGGCGGCGGCCCCAGCAGCAGCGCCGGCGGCGGCGGTGGCGGGGGTGGGGGCGCGGGGGGTGCAGGCGGGAGCGGGTCCGCGTCCGCCCCGGGGCCGTCTTCCGCAGCTGCGCCCACGCCCGCGCCCCCGCACGCGCACACGCTCACGCGCGCGCATCTCCCCCAGCCGCAGGGCGGGAGATACCGCTCCATCCTAGCAGGGCTATCCGCGGAGCACGACACAAGCCGGCAGCTAGAGTCCCTCTCTCTCCTCTGCGACCTGCTGCTGATCGGCACAGAGGAGTCTCTCGCGTCGTTCCCTGTAGACGCGTTTGTACCGCCGCTGGTGGCGCTTCTGGAGTGCGAGTATTGCCCGGACGCCATGCTGCTCGCGGCGAATGCGCTCACGTATCTCTGTGACGTGCTGCCTAGTAGTGGGTGCTCCGCGTTGGTGCACCATGGGGCTGTGCCGTCTCTGTGCGCGCGCCTGCTCACTATCGAGTACATCGACCTTGCAGAGCAGGTAAGGCCTTTGAGGCGCCTCAACTGACGTGCTGCCCAGTAGTGGGTGCTCCGCTTTAGTGCACCACGGTGCTGTGCCGTCGCTCTGCGCGCGTCTGCTCATTATTGAATACATCGACCTGGCAGAGCAGGTGGGGGAACGGGTGGTGAAGAGGGGATCGGGAAGTGGGGCTCTGGGCGGGGGAAGAAGAGGGGGGGGGGGGGGGTGGGGGGGGTGGGTAGCAGAGATGTGTGGTGTGCATACGCTGTGTTGGCTGGCGACACTTGTTTTTCCAAACAGCCAGAGTTGAGCTCTACCTCTCTGTCTGTGTCTCTGTCTTCCCACCACCACGCCATGTAGGCTTGTTCCTTCTCAGCTGCTTGAGTCAGTAATGCAGCTCAAGCCGTCTGTTATATAGGCTCATCTGTTTGATTCAATTCCGTCTCGATTTGATCGATCTTCTCTGCCCTCCTGTACCGTACCGTACCCTCCCTGCCCTCCAATGTCCTCCTGCTTCAGTCGCTGCAAGCGTTGCAGAAGGTGTCTCACGAACATCCCTCAGCGTGCCTGCGCGCGGGTGCGCTCACGGCCGTTCTGTCCCATCTTGACTTCTTCTCCACCAGCATCCAGGTCAGTGCTCTGGCCGGTGTCTTAGTGAGGAATGAAATGATGAATATGTCTTTTTCAACATCACTCAGTGCTTCACTCAGTCACGCCGCGTAGCACACATGATTTGGGTTTATCGAACGAGACTCACAGAAATCTACCCGTTTTTCTCGCTCCACTGCTCTCACACAACCTGCCTCACCTCCTCTCTTTCCGTTACCTCGCGCATCCTTGGATACCTTTCTCTCAATAAATTCCTTGCCTTTCCATCCAACTGCCTACTTCCCTGATTGCCCTCTCGCTCCCCCTACCCCACCCGTTCCCCCCTCTCTCCCCCCGTGGATTCCCCTGCCCCACCGTTTTCCCTCTCCCCCTATCCCCCCTTTCCCCTTCCCCCTTGCCTGCACCGTTCTCTTCACGTGGCAGCAAGTGGCGGCGCGCACGGCAGCGAATGTGTGTCGGGACGTGCCGTCCGACTGTGTGCCCATGCTGCTCGAGGCATCCCCCGTGCTCGCCAACATGCTGCAGCACTGTGACGCCAAGGTGCGTGTTTCAACCACTTCTTGCACCTGGCCCACACGTCTGGCCCATCTCTTTGCCACTCTCAGCTCTCCTCCTCTCTTCCCTCTTTTCTCCCGTGCAATCTCTATCTGCGCAGGAGTTTCTTCTGCCCTCCAGCCCCCCCGCTCCCCACCTTCTTCTCTCTTGTTGTTATTTGTCTCTTTCTGCATCTCACTCACACACAGTAGTTTCTGCAGGATCTAAACGGGCCTAGTACGGTAGTTCCGACTACAAGTAGGAGTTGGTGTTGTAAGCGCAAACCAGAGAGAGTAAGTACAATGAGCGAACAAACAAACAAATGCTTCACCATCCCCCCCTCCCTTCCTCCCTACGCCCCCCTTCCCTCCCCCAGGTGGTAGAGAGCACGTGCATCTGTCTGACGCGCATAGCCCTCGCGGTCTCGGCCAACCCAGAGGATCTCGCCACGCTCTGTGCCTCCTCGGGTCTCATCTCCCACGCTGTGCGCCTGCTCGCCGCCACCTGCACCTCTGCTGGGGTGGGGGGTGCAGCGGTGTCTGGCGGGGGCATGGGAGGGGGTGTGAACATTACTCCGACGACCTTTGTGGTATGCAGGGAGGACGCTCTTGACGCTCTTGCTTGCATCCATGCTGTTTTCCCTTCTCCTCTGTTCATGCGTGCGTGCGTGTGTGTGGGTCTGTGTGTGCATTTCTGCGTTTCTTTTTGTTTTTTCCTGATCACATCGCTTTATTGCACCTCTCTACTGTTTCACAACCCATTTCTGCACCTCTTCCCTTGTAGTTCTATATACCCCCTCCACCCCTCCTTTCTCAGCTTCCCGTATCTCCCTCTCCGACCCCCCTCCTCCTCCCCCCAGGGTCTGCTTCGGCTGCTCACTCTGTGTGCGCGGGAAGCGGAAGGAGCAGCAGAGACGTTGCTATCAGCAGACATTATCCGCCTCCTGCGCAACGCCCTCCTCTCCTCGGGCCTCCACGCCCCTCCACACTCCACCACTGCTGCTGCTGTGGGTGATGCATCTGCGACCCCATTGGGGTTTACTACTAGCCCTGCCGGCGTGTCTCCTGCTGTGACTGCATCGAGTGGCGGAGGGGGGAGTGCAGGGGGATTGGGACCAGTGGCAGCTGCTTCCGCTGCTCCTCCAGGGCTGACCAGGCCTGTGGAAGAGGTGAGGAGGAAGGGGAGAGGACGGACGGGTTGTAGTGTGGGCGGTTTGGATGTTTTGAATACCCAATCTTGTCAAGTTTGAGCAGGCGTGTGGATGCGGAAGGAAGGAAGGAAGGAAGGAAGGGCTGTCGTGTTGGTGTTTTCGAATCCGTTATGTTCCCAATCTGTCAAGTTAGGCGTGTAGAAGAGGTGAGGAGGAAGGGGAAAGATAAGAGGATGATTTTGTCGATTGGGAGATGCTGCGGTTGCTGGTGGCAGTGGTGTTGGAGAAGCATGCATGCATGCATGAATGGAAGGATGGAAGCATGTGCATGTGGGAAAGCTTCGTCCATTGAGGCGCCTTTTGAGGCGCCTCAAAATGAAATGAAGCACGTGGATGTGGGAGTGGGAGAGCTTTGTTTGTTTGCTCCTTCTGCTCCATCTTCTCACTGTCACTCGGTCATTTCATTCTCTTGCTCATTCTGTCCTTAATGTCTAAAATTTGCTTTGGGTCCAATTCTCTCTTTTTGTTCCTTCATTCCTGGCTTCTTTCCTTCGTTTCCCCTCTTGCTTCGTCTCCCCGGACACCCATCCCTGAATCTCTTGTTCCTTGCACAGGTGTACGAGATTCTTGCTCTAGCCAATGAGCTGCTGCCACGTGCAGTGGAGGAGGAACTGGAGGAGGGGGAGGTGTTATCTGAGGACATATCATGTGATGAGAGCGAGGAGAAGGACGTTACACAAGGCGAGGAGGAGGGGAATGGAGAGGAGGAGAGTGAGAAGGAGGAGAATGGGAAGGAGAAAAGGGCAGGAGAGGACGGTGCTGCAGCAGCTGTGACTGGTGGTGGTAGCGAGGAAGGGAAGGGCAAGGGGAAGGAGAGGGAGGAGACGGATGGGAAGGGGAAGGGGAAGGAGAAGGAGAAGGGGAGGGGGATGAGTGAGCGGGCGAGGCAGAGGGCGTTTCAGCAGGCGCCAGAGGGGCTGGCTCCGTTTGTCTCTGACTTGTTCCCTCTCATCATGCAGGTGCGTGCTTCTGCTGCTGCTGCTGCTGCTGTTGCTGCTGCTGCTGCCGCTGTAGCTTTGTTGCATTGGCTGGGGTGGATGGCGTACAGGCGGATCAATTCTCATGGCACTGGAAAAACGAAACAAGTAAATAGCAAAGGCAAAAACAAACATCATGTGTGTGTGTGCGCCCCCGCTCCTGTATGGCAGGCGTATGGAGCGACAATGAACGTGGCAGTGCGGCACAAGTGTCTCGAGATTATCTGCAACGTGCTGCTGCTCTCCACCCCCACCACCATGCCCCTCCTCCCACCCGCCTCCTCCATCGCTAGGTACTCTCCCGTCCCCCCTGCTGCCCCTGCTGCCATTTCTGCTGCCTGGTCTGCTGTCTATTCCTTGTTGCCCTACTTGCCACCCTTTCCTTCCCCCCCAGCGGCTTCCCTCCTCTCCTCTTCTGACCCGATATACGATTAGCTTTCCCTAACGCTTCAGTCCCCTCCCCTCCCCTCTCCCCTCTTGGAACTTTTTCCAGTCATCAATCCCCGTGCATATCGACCCCATTACCCCTCTGGCTCATCACGCCGCTCTCTCTCTCCCGCCCATCCTCTCCCCAGTTTCCTGGCGGACGTCCTTTCCTCCCAGGACGCGTCTCTCCAGCTACAAGCGCTACGCATCTCCTCTCTGCTGCTGCACAAAGACGCACAAACCTTCCGCCTGCCCTTCTCGCGCGAAGGCACACTCTTTGCCATTCAAAACCTCATCCCTGCTCGTACCACCGCCGCTGCTGCTGCTGCTGCTGCCGGCTCCTCTCCCGCATCCCGCCGCTCCCCTGTCAAGAGAAGTTCGTCTGGTGGTGGTGGTGGTAGTGGTACTGGTGGTTCTGCCACTGCTCGTTCTCCTGCCCGTCCACCTCCTCTCTCCCCTCTTCCACCCGCGGCTTCTGCCTTTGCCACTGCCGCTGCCGCTGCTTCTCCTACTCCTGCAGCGCCAGTGAGGAAGGAACCAGGCAAGAAGTATGCTGTAAAGCATTCTGCTAGTGCGCCTGCGTCCTCTACCCCTGCCAAGCATGCAGCAGCGTCATCATCACCGTCAGCAGCAGCTGCAGTTTCGCCCGGGGTCCACTCAGATCGGTGCAGGAAAGCAGCAGGGAAAGAGAAGAAGGGCTTGGGTGGCTCCGGCAGTTCTTCTTTCGCTGCTGCGTCTGCTACTGCACCTGCTGCTGCATCTGCTGGTGCTGAGGATGCTGCTGGCTCCTCGGCCCCACCAGGGTCAAGCGCACCCAGCTTTGCTCGCTGGATGGCGGCTATGGGCAAACGAGGCAAAGCCAAGGGAGAGGCAGCAGATGGGCCGGGCGCGAAAGACGCAGCTGAGCTTGGTGAATCAACAAAACACGACCAGCAGCAGCAGCAGCAGCAGACGCAGCAGACGCAGACGCAGCAGCGTCCCAGTACCTCTGCGGCAGTAGCAGCTGCCGCCGCTGCCGCGGCTGCGGCTTCAGTGCCACGTCGTGGTGGCGGTAATTCTGCTGCTCCCCCAGCGTCCTCAGCAGCAGCAGCAGCATCTCCTGCGGCGGCTCGAGCGGCGGCGGCAGCAGCGGTGCAGGCAGCAGTGGCAGCGCAGGCGCAGCAACTACATGAGCACTTCTTCCCCATGGGATGGCGGGCTAATGAGCCCTCCGGTGCTGCTGATGGGCTGCTGCAACTGCAGGCTCTGTGCCGAGAGATTCAGGAAGCAGGAGGAGAGACGCCGAGTCAGGGAGAGAAACAGGGACAGGGACAGGCAGGGGCAGCAGCAGCGGCAGGGGCAGAATCCGAGGGGCTGAAAGCAAAGGCGAGCTGTGGCTGGGGAAGTGAGGCGAAGCAGGGGGGGGAATCAACCGGGTTGGTGGTAAAGGCGACAAGGGGGTGGGCTGTGGAGATGGTGGAACGACTGAGGCATGACACGGCTGTGCTGTGCCAGGTGCTGGGCATGCTCGCAGATAGGTGCACAGGGACTGGTGGCGCTGCTGGTGGTTCTGCTGGTGGTGGTGGTGGTGGTATGGGAAGGAACGGGTCGGTGTCAGTGACAACGTTTGAGCTAGTGGAAGGGGGTGTGCCCTCTGCTGTGCTCCGGTTCCTCTCTCCTTCTTCTCCCCCTCCTCTCTCCTCTCGCCCTGCTGCTGCGTCTGCTGGCAGCAGCGGCGGCGGTGGGGAGGAAGGAGGGAGCCAGGTGTCAGGCTTGGATTGGTGGGCTCAGCAGGAGCGGCGGCGGTGTGAGGTGGTCCTTCGGCTTCAGATCATCACAGCTATACTTTCATCTGCTCTCCCACTCGCCCAATCCCCAGTCTCACACTCACTCCCATACTCCACCCCTAGACTCACCACCACCAGCGCCACCACCACCATCCTGCACACCTCCTCCTCTCCATCCTCCCCCCTCTCCCTCGCGTCCTCTCTCCCGCTCACCACTTCTCCCCCCGTTTCCGTCCACCTGCTAGTGCAGCGCTTGCAAGCAGCACTAGCAGCACGGGAGCGCTTCGCAGTGTTGCAAACAGAGCTGTTCCAGCTGCCCGGAGGGGCAGGAGGAGGAGCTTTCACTTCCAGCGGCCCCACAGGAGCATCGAATCTAGGCCTTGGCCCTGGGGGGACTATACCTGGACGAACAGGTAAGCCAGGCGCCCACGGGTTACCTCGCTGGCCGGGAGGGTCCGGAGGAGCAGCAGGAGGGGCAGCAGAAGTGGCGCTGCTAGCAGCAGAAGCATCTGCTGCTGCAACGGCGGCTGCAGCAGCAGGACCGATGGGGGCTGGTGGGGTGTCTGGGCTGTCTGCGTTGTCACATCCGATCAAGCTGCGGCTGGTGCGCGAGCGGTGCGAGCGGTCGGTGCGGGATTACTCGTCGAATGTGGTTCTTATAGAGCCGTTGGCGACGCTGACTGCAGTGGAGGAGTTTCTGTGGCCTAGAGTGAGGAGGTCGCACCATGTGGCGGCTGTTACTGCCACGCCTGCTCTCGCCACCACCACCGCTGCTGCTGCTGCTCCTGCTGCTTCTCCTGCTGGCGCTCCTGGTGCGGCTGATGCTGCTGGTGCTGGTGCTGATGCTGCTGCTGCTGCTGGTCCAAGCAGGGTGGCAACAGGGGAAGAGGCCACTAGGGGTGCGCGTGCTATGGACCAGGAGGAAGGCGAGATTGAAGGAGCAGCAGCGGGTAAAGCTGCTGGTGCCGGTGCTTCCCTTTCTCCTGCTGCTGCTTCCGCTGCTGCTTCTTCCCTTGCTGCTGCTGCCACAGGTGTTGGTAATGGCGATGGTGGTGGTAAGTGCAAGAAGAGTCAAGGGAAGGGTGTGGAAGCAGAGAAGACAGAAGAAGCAGATGTGGGTAGCAAGGAGGGGACGAGTGGAGGGAAATTTTTAGGGAAGAGTGGGTGGGGCGCGCTAAAAGGGAGAGAGAAGGGGGAGGGATCTGGTTCTCGATCGAAACGAGCGGGGAAAGACAGGGAGGGAGAGGGGGCAGGAGGGCAGGAGGCGGATGGTATGGGGAAGAGCAAGGAGAGCGGTGGTAAGGCGAGGGGTAAGAGAGGTGTGGCACAAGATGCTTCGGGGGAGAGTGCGGGAGGTGGGAAGGAGGACGAAAGGAGGGCGGGGGAGAAGGGTGAGGGGAAGTCACGTTTGGGGATGGCGCGCGGGTGGTGGAGTGGGGGGAAGGGGAAGAAGGAAAGCAAGGGAGGTGGCAAGGGTGGGGCGGGGGAGAGGGCTGAGAAGGGGCGAGAGAAGGGAAGAGGGAGCGATGATGGAAAGGGAGAAGCGTCAAGGAATGGTAAGGAGAGGGCTGATGGTAAGGCGACAGGGGAGGAGGGGCGGGAGGTGAAGGAGAGGAGGAGGAAGGGTAAAGGGAAGGATGAGAGGAAGGAGGCGAAGGGTGCGGGTGCAGGGCAAGAGGAGCAGCAGCGGCGGAGTGAGGAGGAGCCGCTTTCCGACCTTGCAGATCTCATGGCCGTACGTCCTTGATGCCCTTGGCTCTCTGTGTTGAATCTCGTGCGCATGTTCATTGGTCTGCCTGCTCTGCTCACACTGTTGAGACTCACCTTTTTTGCCATTCATTTTTGAGGCGCCTCAAAAGATCTCTGTGTTGAATCTCGAGCGCATGTTAAGTGGTCTGCTGAATCTCGAGTGCCTGCGCTGAATCTCTGCTCACACTGTTGAGACTCACCTTTTTCGCCATTCACCTTGCATGCTCCACTGCTGTTTATTCTTTCTTGACTTGTTCAATGCCCCTTGAGTTGCTTTGTGTTTTCCTTGTCTGTTCAATTCGTTTGGCTTCCCTTGGATTGTTTCGAGACCTCGTCGGTTGACCTGCCATCACTTATCACAAGTCCTCACCTTTTTACCCTTTTTTTTTGTGCGCTTCTTCTTGGTCGCAACCTCATTGCGACCCTGGTGGGCATGGTATGACGCTCCACGTTGCTGGCATGGCATGCGTGGCATGGCATGGCTTGGTATGAGCAGTTGATGAGCGGACTTAACGCAGCAGGCATGGAGTCAGAGGAAGGGGAGCTGGGTGGCCAAGGTGGTCGGCTAAAGTCCTCCCTTTCAGCACGCTCCCAGACACCACCAGTCGCAGCAGCAGCGAGTGGAGAGAGATTGGCGGCAGGGTCAAGCGGTGCTGCAGCTGCTGCAGGAACAGAGGCAATGCAGCAGCAAAAGCAGCAACATGCGATGGATGCAGGTGTGAGCTCTGCTTTGCCTTGTGCTCTAGGTGCTGGTAGCAGCAGGGCAGGGAACCCACTCACTGAGCCTGTGCCTGAGAGCACAGTAGTCACAGGTGGAAGGCGCAACGGCAGCAGCAGCAGCAGCAGCGCTGCTCTTGCAGCAGCAACGGCTTCTGGTGCAGAAGCAAGGGGGGGAGGAGCAGGTGGGAGCGCAGGAACAGGAGGTGAGAGGGGGGCGGCAGTGGCTGCTGCTGTGCCTGGGGAGCATCGGTTGGTGTTTTCGTTTCGAGGGATTCCCTTGGATCCTACTGCCACGATTCTGAGTGTAGTTGTGAAGGGGTTGAGAATGATGGCTGAAGGGGTGGAGGGCGAGAGAGAGGAGGTTGGGTTGCAGGAGGAAGGTGAGGAAGAGGAGGAGGAGGAGGAAATGGAGGAGGAAGAAGAGATGGATGAAGATGAGATGATGATGTTGCATGGGGAGGAGAGTGGAGAGGAGGAAGAGGAGGAGGAAGAGGGAGAGGAGGGAGAGGAAGAGGAAGGGGAGGATGATGAGGAGGAAGAAGAGGAAGGGGAGGATGTTGAGGAGGAGGAAGAAGAGGAAGGGGAGGAGGTGGAAGAAGGTGAAGAGCCAGGCAGAGAGGGGAATGAAATGTATGTAGAGGAGGGAGGCGGGGAGGAGCAGGAGGAGGAGGGAGAGGAGGAGGAAGAAGAGGAAGAGGAGGAAGTAGAGGAGGGGGAGGTGAAGGAAGACGACGATTTGTTGGTGGTGGAGGAGGAATTGGAGGAAGGGGAAGTTGACGAGAGTATGGAAGGTGAGGAGGAGGATCGGGAGGATGGGGAAGAGGAGGAGCAAGAAGGAGACGTTGAACCAGTAGAGATGACAGGGGCTGGAGAGGAGGGGGAAGAATTGGAAGAGGAGGAGGAGGGGGAGGAAGAGGAAGAGGAGGAGATGGATGAAGACGACGAGGAGGATGAAGAAGAGGAAGGGGAGGCGGAGGGGGAGGAGGATGACGCTGACGTGGCAGAGTTTGAGAGGTTTATGGCAGATGAGTTTTGGCTGGCTCTGGGGGGGAGGGGAGGGGGAGCAGGCAGCAGGGGGCGCAGTGCGGATGCTGAGGGGGGGGGCCACAGGTCTCGAGGCATGGGGTATGGGTATACCCACCTTTATGGCAACTCGTCTAAGCAGAGCAGGCATGGCTCGCATGCTCATGGGCATGCACATGCGCATGCGCCTTCCCAAAGGCATGGGTATGGGCTGGGTTATGGTAGTCGTGGGAGTGGCGGTAGCGGTAGCAGCGGCGGCGGCGGTGGTGGTGGCAGTGGCAGAGGCAGGGACGGTGGGAGGGGCAGAGGCAGTGCGATACAAGGGGTGTGGGATGGGATTCACGAGATTGTATATCGGCACGCCGCTACAGTGCCTCCTGCTGCTGCTGCTTCTGCTGCCGCTGGTTCAGCTCCAACTGATGCTGCTGCTACTGCTGTGTCAGAGGCAGTCGCAAACAACACACAGAGAGCAGCTGCAGCAGCTGAAGCATCCAGACTAGGATCATCATCTTCATCTGCTGCTGCTGCAGTTGCAGGAACAGTGGAAGGGTCATCTCTGCTCTTGCCACACTCCATCAACCCGTCCCTCTCCCCCGTGCGTACTCTCCTTACCAGCTCTCTTTCCACCCCTCTGCCCTCCGCCTCCTCCTGCCCTTCTGTGGTTCGAGACCTGCTGCTGCTGCTGCACACACTGCACGCACTCACCCGCTCCTCCCACCAGCTACAGCAGGAGGCAGCAGCAGCTGCTGCTCTTGTGCTGGCCTGTGCTCGCGCTGAGGGTGATTCTGCAGAGGAGAAAGCTGTTGGGGGGGAAGAGGACGAGAGGGAGGAAGGAGAGGAGATAGAAGAAGGGGAGGAGATGGATGTTGACGAGGTGCCAACGCCATCGCACCGTGATGGGGTGTCAGCAGCAGCAGGCATTAGTGAGCAGCTCGAGCAGATCCTGTACACGCAGCTTGGGCTTCCCAGGCTCATTCTGGGACAGACGGCTGACGGCGTTGCTTCTGGTGCTGCTGCTGCTCCCACCACTCCCTCCACCCCCTACGTCACGATCCCTGCTCCGGGCCAGGCTGCCGCCTCTCCCTCCTCCTTCTCCGCACTGCTCTCTCCCTCCCTCTCCCCCACGTCGCCAGCAGCAACGCTCCTGCAGATCCAGCAGCACATGGCAGTTCCTCCAGAGTTGTTTCTCAACACCAAGATTGCCACCAAGCTGCAGCGCCAGCTGCAAGACGCGCTCTCTCTCTGCAGCGACTCGCTTCCCGACTGGGCGCATGCACTCCCGCGCTCCTTCCCCTTCCTCTTTCCGTTATCGCTCCGCCGCCACTACTTCTACTGCACTGCCTTTGATCTCCTTCGAGGGTTGCACCGCCTGCAGCAGCAGCAGCAGGTGGCGGGGGAGGCGGGCGCGGGAGCAGGAGGAGGAGCAGGGGGAGCGGGAGGAGGAGGAGGCGGAGCAGGAGGGGGAGGTGGAGGGGCATACGGGCGGGACAGGCGGCGGGAACTGCGGCCGATCCGGCTGCAACGGCAGAAGGTGCGGGTGTCTCGCGAGCATATACTGGAGTCAGGAACCAAGGTTATGGAGCTGTATGCGGGGCATAAGGCAGTGCTGGAAGTTGAGTATTTCGGGGAGGTGGGAACTGGTCTGGGTCCTACTCTCGAGTTCTACACACTCCTATCTCACCAGCTGCAGCGGCGCTCCCTCCGCCTGTGGCGGTCGGAGGAAGGCCCGGGAGTGCCCGTGCCTGCAGCTGTAGCAAGCACCATTGGAAGCGCTGGCACCGCTGCTGCTGCAGCTGGAGGGGGAGAAGGAGCAGAGGCGCGCACAGGAGGAGGAGGGGGAGGAGGAGGATCAGGAGGGAAGGGCGCGCAGGGGAGAGGGGGAGTGGGGGAGGGGGAGGAGACGATGGTACTGGCGCCACAGGGGCTGTTTCCACGGCCGTGGAGGGAGGCGCCTGAGCGGGTGATAGAGCAATTCAGAATGGCGGGGCGGCTCATGGCAAAGTCGCTGCAGGACGGCCGCCTGTTGGACATGCGCTTCTCCCCGGCCTTCTACCGCCTACTGCTCGATAAGGTACGTGCATGGGCTGTCTGTCTGTGAATGCTGGTGTGGTGTGCGCTTGTGCTGGCGCTTGTGTGCTGGCGTCTGGGTGTTGGTGTTTGTATGATGTGGACGGTTGGCTGGGCTGGCTGCTGGGCTTGTGTATCGCTGCACCAGATCTAAATCGTTTGCCTCTGCCGTGCCGCTCCCTTAGCTCCCGCTTCACTCACACCGTTGTCCCACCTTTCCCCATCCCCGCCCCTCTCTCCCTCCCTTCTCCATCCCGTACCCCCATCGCTTCTCTGCTCCCACTTCCCCCTCCCCTCTTCCCCTTTCCACCCCGCAGCCCCTAGGGCTGTACGACGTGCGCCTGTTTGACCCTGCTCTGGGAAGCACTCTCGAGATGCTTGCGCATGTGGCTCGCGTCCTCGCCCTCGCCCCTGCCGCCACCGCCGCTGCCGCTGCTGCTAGTGGCAGCGGTGCAAGTGCCGGTTCCGCTGCAGCGACTGACGCGGCTGCGAGCAGGGATGTTGACGGCACGGGCAGCAGCAGCGGCGGCGGCGGTGGCAGCAGAGAGGGCAGCAGTGGGGGCAGTGTGGTGGTGGCGCATGGGTTGCTGCCAGAGGGCATGCTATTAGAGGACCTGTGTCTCGACTTCACTCTCCCAGGCGACCCCTCCTATGAGCTCAAGCCGGGCGGAGAGGACATTGAGGTTTGTTTTCTGTCTCCTCGCTGCCTGCTGCCTGCTGCCTGCTGCCTGCTGCCTGTTTCACACTTGATAGTCCGACCCATGGTTGAGATGGGTTGGGCTCTTCCCTTCGTTGCGTGACTGTCTTGACTTGACACTTGTGTTCACACCTTGGTCACGGGACACCATTGCGTACACTCGTGCGAAAATGTCATTTCGTGCGCATCTCCCCTCCCCTTTTTCCTTCCCCCTTATCCCATCCCTGCTCCCACTCTCCCTTCCGCCCTTCCCCTTTCCGTACCCCTCTCCCCGGCCGACCCTCTCAATCCCATGCTTGGCGCGGCATCATATCGCGGAGCAGGTGGGCGAGGGGAATGTAGCGGAGTATCTGCACCTGGTGGTAGATGCACTCGTGGGCCTCAAAGCTCTCTGACTGTTGAATTCCCCCCTCTTTCCTCCCCGTTTAACATGTGTGCCGTGCACGGCTTGGCAGGTAGGCAAGGGGAATGTAGCGGAGTGCACCTGGTGGTGGCTGCACTCGTGGGCCTCAAAACCCCCCTCTCTCGATGCCTCTTCTCTTCCCCCCTCTTTCAATCTGCAATGTGCATCACCTTTCATGGCCTGGCAGGTGGGCGAGGGGAATGTGGCGGAGTATCTGCACCTGGTGGTGGATGCACTGGTGGGGTCGGGCATTGCTGCTCAGGTCGCCGCCTTCAAGCAGGGCTTTAACCAGGTGCGTGCGTGTGTGCATGCAGGAGGATAGGGGTAGGAGGGCAGTAGGGCAGGGGGGGAGGGAAGGCTAGAGGGAGCAATGAGGTGGATGGGAAGTGTACTGTTTGTGCGCGTGCGATGCCTCTCACAGAAGCAGCTGCATTGCTTGATCACCCTTGCGTGGCGCCTGGTTCAGTCTGTAGGGCGCCGGCTCTTAAGTTCAACGGCTTATGAGTCGACAACTAAACAATCGAATCATCGCGAGCCCTGTGTCCTGCCTCCTCTCCCTCCCTCCCTCCTCTCCCTCCCTCCTCTCCCTTTCTCCTCTTCTCCCTCCTTCCTCCTCTTCCTCTTCTCCCTCCTCCTCCACTCTCCACAGGTCTTTTCACTCTCTTCACTGCAAGTGTTCACGGAGTATGAGCTAGACACTTTGGTGTGCGGAGATCGCCAGATGTGGACTGTGAGTCATGCCTTGCCTTGCTGTCTAGTGCGGTGTGGACGGTGGGTGTTGTGTGGAGGGTGGGTGAGGTGGGTGGAACAGGGAGTGTGGTGGGGCAGGTGGTGGGTGGAACAGGGAGTGTGGTGGGGCAGGTGGTGGGTGGAACAGGGAGTGTGGTGGGGCAGGTGGTGGGTGGGCAGTGGAGGCTAAACGTACCCATGCCTTGCTTCGTCCTCTTCTCGCTTGTATCTTTCTGCATTGGTTCATCTGTTCGTGTTGGTGTGGCCATTTAAGAGAATCGTGTAGAACTACCAAAATCATCTCGAATATATAGTATAAGTATCATTTTGTGTGTGTGTGTGTGTGTGTGTGTGTGTGTGTGTGTGTGTGTGTGTGTGTGTGTGTGTGTGTGATGTCAATGTGTGATGGCGTACACAGGAGGAGATGCTAGCAGAGCACATCAAGTGCGATCATGGCTACACGCTTGACAGCGCACCCATCAAATACGTAAGCCGCCACCATCCGTCCCGTCCCTTCTCCAGTCTCCCATAACACATACACCTCTCGACCTCGTCTGCGCTCGCCAACGTCACCTTGCGCCCCGTTTTCCAGGCTGGGTTTTGTGAGTCCTTTCGTCACGCACTGAACTTACAGACTACCCACTCAGGCTTCCACAAGCCATCTGTTGCCCTTCCCAAACCCACTTGGTCAAGCCTGACCCAGGATGCCGCGAATAGGACGCCCCACCTCCCCTCCCCGCTTTGTCAACCTCCCCTCCCACCTAGCTCTCCGTTCAATGCAATCTCTCACCCTGTCCCGTCCCTCCCTGCATCTCCCCTGTCAACTTTACCCCTCTCCCTCCTCCCCCTCTCCCCCAGCTGCTGAGCATTCTAGCAGCCTTCACCCCCCAGGAGCAGCGGGCGTTTGTGCGCTTTGTCACGGGTGCGCCCTGCCTGCCACCGGGAGGGCTTGCATCGCTGCGCCCCAAGCTCACCATCGTCAGAAAGGTGCGTCTGCAGGGGGCAGCGGGGTGAGCAGGGGTGAGCAGTGGTCAATAGACTGTCTCCAGTCGTACATTCTCCCCCTAACTCTGTCCCACCCGCATCCTTTTTGCATGCCGCAACCCAACCCTGTCCTCGCTTCAACTCATCTCTCCTGCTCCGCCCTGCTCTTCCCCCCCTTGTTCCAACCCCAGCACCCATCATCATCACCGGGGAGACCCTCTACCTCCACAGCCTCCCCGCCAGCAGCAGTGGGAGCGGGCAGTGCAGGGGGGTCGCCTATGGCAGCGAGTGATATGGATCTACCCAGTGTCATGACCTGTGCCAACTACCTCAAGCTGCCGCCTTACTCCTCCCAGGTGTGTGCTCCCCTGCCCCCCCACGATGCAATGCATGCTGCTCTTTTTTTTTTTGTTTCTTGGATGTGTGCTGCTCGGATTCTTGTTGTGTGCTCCTCCCTTAGCTGCTGCTCTCATAGCCTCTGTTTGTCCGGCCTGGTTCTGTGCTTCTGAAGGTAGCCTTTCCTGTGTTTTTTTATGGTTTGGTGGGGTGCTGGGAGGTTCTTCTGTTTCTTTCAATTGCAAGGAGGGTGGGTGGGTGGGGGGGACTGCGTCTGGATTCTGATTCCACTCGCGTCAACCCTCATTCTGGCTCCTCTCGAATAAACATCCTTCGTCCCATCCCGTGAGCAGGAGGTGATGCAGCAGCGGCTGCTGTATGCAATCTTTGAGGGGCAGGGCTCGTTTGACCTCTCGTAAACGAGCATGGTGGGCACAACGGGCACGACGGGCACGTCGGGCACGACGGGCACGGGAGCGGCTGCTGGAAAGCAGGAAGGCCTCTCGTACGGTATTCTCAAGGGCAGTGCACTCGGAGGGAGTGCCTGCTATACGCCATTCTCAAGGGCAGATGGGGTTGGCCAAGAATGCACCTTGTTTACCTCACATCACCTCACCTCACCTCACCTCACCTCACCTCACCTCACCTTATCTCACCACTCCTTCCATGGGCGTATGCCATAACAGCAAACCTTGCCCACGGGGAAGGAAGGAGTAGGACGAGCAAGGTTACTATCACCTTGCTTGTGCCGAGCCCCATGACCCATCCATGCCGGATGGATCAGTGCGAGGCAGACGGCAAGTTGGAAGCAGACGATTCTTGCGAAAAGGCCAAGACGTGTCACGTTTAGTCTGCACGGCACATTCTCTATTCCTCGAGCAGTCGTAGACACTCTGTATACTTGGGCAGTAGGGCTCAGGCTTCCTGTTGCGTGCCTGGCTCCATCAGAGTTGGCAGGACTCAGGACAGGACTTGGTCGGGAATCCCGACTGGCGAGCTCCTCTGCTTGTCTCCCTTAGGGAGCGAGTGAAGTTTGGTTGATCTTCTTCCTGCCGAAGGAGTTTGTCGGTTGGGCTCCTCTATTGCAGTCTAGCTGTGTGTTTGATTCATTCACTGTAGCTGCTGGGGTGGATGTAGGGGTTGATTGAAGCACAGATCGTATGTGGCATGTGGCATCAGACTCTGTACATTGGGAACTTGAAACCTTTAGAGCGTGTTCCTAACCTCGTATCAAGATAACCTCGTATCAGGCTCACACTGAAAATTCCCCTAAACCCAAAACCTCTCGCTAGTTTTACCAGGCAAAAACAGCATTCTTGATAAGAGGTTTCCTGATATGAAGCTGTAGGAACACGCTCTTATTGGGGCATTCGACACATCTTGCTGGTAGGACCATTGGTTACAAAATATATCATGTCACATGGCACATATGATACCGGCTGGTATCATCTTACATGAAGCACAGTACTGTACGAGAGGTATGGTACACCATTTTGCTGCAAACCTCCACAGAACCACAGGAAAAAATCAGTGTGCAGTGCCTTATCTAGCATTCTCAGCTGCGGTATTTCCCAAAGACTGCCATCACGCGCACTTCACCGAAGAGAGCATTTCAATTAACCTTAGCATGTTATCCCTGTTCAGATGTTGCAGTTATCCCTGTTCAGATGTTGCAGTAGAGTCTCAGCAAGCCATACCTCTGCTAGCATTCCCTGTTCATATACTAGCATTCCCTGGTCATATACTGTACTACGGTAACTGGATGACATAAAGATGAGGCCTGGCTTTGAGAAGTCATAAGGCTGCAGTGCAGACGGGATTTGTATGTGTGCAAGAGGCTCTCCTTGCTAAGCAGGTGCGCAGAAAGGTTTCAACCGGGAGTAGCTCAAGCAACATTTGCGGTGTAATCTAATCCACTACCAGTGCAGACAGTGGAAATGTGTTGTCTACAGGTGCGCAGGGAAGTGTGTGGGTGGGGGGAGTGGCTGAGTGGAGAGCGAATTGAGGGGCAGAAGAGTGCAGGGAACAGAGAGGAGAGAGGGGGGGGGGGGGGGGGAAGAAGGAGAGGGAGAGGGAGAGGGAGAGGAAGAGGGAGACGGAGACGGAGATGGAGAGGGAGACGGAGAGGGAGAGGGAGAGAGAGAGAGACAGAATATAGTAAGAGTGGAAAGAAAGAGGATCTCTATCGCAGGCGCAGATGCTGCATGGCACGCAGGGGAGCCTTATCCACCCCTGCAAGCGGTGACTGCTGGCCCTGAGGCACCCCCCCTGCCGCCGCCTGCTGTTGCTGCTGCTGCTGCTGGAGCTCCGGGTGTAGCATCTGATGTGGAGCCCGTGGGGGGGGGGATGGGCGGGTCGACAGGAGGAAAACGAACGGGAGAAAGGCATCAGACGGTTAGACATGCGTGTGAAGGGCCAAAGCGAGAAACACATCCGCTACGACAGAGCTAGAGCAGAGCAGGGAAAGGTGGCAAAGCAGCAGCAAAGGCATGACCATTCTCGCACAGACCCCTGCACTCATCAACCATGAGTTCTATTTGAGTCACTCTTGACTGATCCCACACAGCTGATTCGAGTCATTTCATAGGTCACCCTTTACTCCCCGCGACGATTCTCAACAACACCCCACCTTGGCCCCTTCCTCGCTCGCCCTCCCACCCTCCACTCTCAACTCGTTTCCTACTCCCCATGCCCTCCTCCCATATTAGCCAAAACTCTTGGGCGTTGCATATGAGACACTCCCGGACGTCCAAAGCCATCACATCTTACTCCTCACTTCCCCTCCATCCCCCACTTCGCCTTGCCTTAACTCACACCACCACCTCGCCCACTGCATCCCCTCCGCTTTTCCCCCCCACTCCCACCTGGTTGAGAGCATCCCCCCGGCGGCGCATGCGCGTGTGCAGCAGGCCCTTGGCGCGGCGCACGTGGTGAGCGACAAACGAGTGGAAGGAGCACACGTGCCATGCCACGCGCTCCACGCGCGGCCCCTCCACGTGCCGCTTCGCCACCTGCATCGTCACGAACCCCACGTTCGCCGTCAGGTACTGTGCTGGTGCACCGACCTTTCACAAGGTCTACAAGCAGGCACGTAAAGTCATGGCACCTAACTGGGACCCACTCGGACCCACCTGCAGCGTCACGAACCCCACGTTCGCCGTCAGGTACTGTGCTGGTGCACCGACCTTTCACAAGGTCTACAAGCAGGCACGTAAAGTCATGGCACCTAACTGGGACCCACTCGGACCCACCTGCAGCATCACGAACCCCACGTTCGCCGTCAGGTACTGTGCTGGTGCACCGACCTTTCACAAGGTCTACAAGCAGGCACGTAAAGTCATGGCACCTAACTGGGACCCACTCGGACCCACCTGCAGCGTCACGAACCCCACGTTCGCCGTCAGGTACTGTGCTGGTGCACTGACCTTTCACAAGGTCTACAAGCAGGCACGTAAAGTCATGGCACCTAACTGGGACCCACTCGGACCCACCTGCAGCGTCACGAACCCCACGTTCGCCGTCAGGTACTGTGCTGGTGCACCGACCTTTCACAAGGTCTACAAGCAGGCACGTAAAGTCATGGCACCTAACTGGGACCCACTCGGACCCACCTGCAGCATCACGAACCCCACGTTCGCCGTCAGGTACTGTGCTGGTGCACCGACCTTTCACAAGGTCTACAAGCAGGCACGTAAAGTCATGGCACCTAACTGGGACCCACTCGGACCCACCTGCAGCGTCACGAACCCCACGTTCGCCGTCAGGTACTGTGCTGGTGCACTGACCTTTCACAAGGTCTACAAGCAGGCACGTAAAGTCATGGCACCTAACTGGGACCCACTCGGACCCACCTGCAGCGTCACGAACCCCACGTTCGCCGTCAGGTACTGTGCTGGTGCACCGACCTTTCACAAGGTCTACAAGCAGGCACGTAAAGTCATGGCACCTAACTGGGACCCACTCGGACCCACCTGCAGCGTCACGAACCCCACGTTCGCCGTCAGGTACACCTAACCACCGCTATTTTCTTTCGGTCTATTTTCAACCCCACTTGCACAAGTGGGGTATGCACCCTTTCTAAATCTTTGACCGAGGGTTGTGTGGGGCATCATTAAATTTTAGCGAGAGTCTGTTCCAGATCCCCGAAGAGAGTACTGTAGAAGTGGCGCTATGGATTCAGATTCGCATAATGAGTTTAAACTTCGAGCATTAGGCGTCATTCATAGCCCCAGTCATCTAAGTGTCGAACTGAAATAGTCGAAAACGTGCAGGGTAACTTTGAAACGCGAGATTAGTGGGTTGGGTTTCCCCTTGAAAATAGCGGTGGTTAGGTGTACTGTGCTGGTGCACTGACCTTTCACAAGGTCTACAAGCAGGCACGTAAAGTCATGGCACCTAACTAGGACCCACTCGGACCCACCTGCGGCGTCACGAACCCCACGTTCGCCGTCAGGTACTGTGCTGGTGCACTGACCTTTCACAAGGTCTACAAGCAGGCACGTAAAGTCATGGCACCTAACTGGGACCCACTCGGACCCACCTGCAGCGTCACGAACCCCACGTTCGCCGTCAGGTACTGCGCCGGCGCGCCGTCCAGGTCGGGGGGGAGCGTGCGCGAGAACGAGCACTCGGGCGCCCATGACAGGCCCCCGCCCTTGCGCGCCTCTGCTAGCTCCTGGTGTGTGGGGGGGGGGGGGGGGGAGGGGGGAGGGAAAGGGGGGGTTAAAATGGGTGAGGAGGGGGGGCGAAGGGGACTGACGCGCCGTTGAGGTCCTCTGGGAGGGTGCAGCCCTTGACAGCCCCCCGCCTTACATCTTGTGCGCTTCTGCTAGCTCCTGGGGGCGACAGGAGCGCGAATGCGGATTGACGGGGACGGGGTGAGGGCACGGGGGCTGGCGTGCCGTTCATATCTGCTAGGAGCGTGTTGGAGAAAGCGCAGTGCCCGTGACAGCGCCCCCCCCTCCTTGCGCCCTTGGGCGCGTATAGGGACGTTCCCAGGAGTCCCAGGAGGTCCCATGTGGTCCCAGGAGGTCTGAGCAGGTGAAGCACCTGAGGCACCTGAGGCACCCGACGCACCTGGAGGAAGGCGGCAGCGAGGATGGCGTCGCTCGGATCATGGAAGTGCACGGGGAATACGATCTTCACGTGATCGCCCTTGCTCGACAGCGACGCGAAGAAAACCTCCCCCGGCCGGTGCACTATGGCTTTCATCGCGCTCCCCCCGCCCGCGCCGTCTTCCCCCGCGGCCTCCCCCCCAAAGCCCTTCGCTTCCCCCGCTCCGCCTTCCGCCAGCGCGGTCAGCATGGCGCGCAGCGGCGCACCGAGGACGACTGACCGCACCGCGGCTAGTTTCGCCGCGATCGCGGCGCGCGCTTGCTGCTCCTCCGGGAGCTTCTTAAGATCCACCATTAGGGTAAGGTGGTAGTTGCTCGACGGCGGCGTCAGCACCGTCGCGATCCCACGGTACGCCGCGTTTACCGCGTCCATCGCGCCACTTGGCAACCCGTCACTGGTCGCCAGTTCAGGCGGGATCACCGCCGCTGCGGCGGCGGCTGCATCCGCGGGATCTGTGGCGCTTGTTGCGGCAGTGTGTTGGGGAAGGTGTACGGAGAGGAGAATAGTGGATGCATCCTCGTCTTTAAGTAGGTATCGCACGCCATCGAATTCTGCGACAAAGACATCGACCGTCGCAGCGGGCTCGCCTGGTCGCATGCGACGCAGGAGCGCCTCTTTCAATGCGCGATTTTCTTCGTCGTGGGCCGTCGCCATGCTATACTCGACTTGATCCCTATGCGTGACGAATAGGCCAAGTGCTTTCGTGGGGAAGGGCAACGCGGAAATGTAACAATGTAAACGAAATCGGACTGGAAGAAGCCGACGATGTGACTTAATATATCTGTGCCATGATATGAAACCAAATCTCCTCTCAGCAGCAAACGGCCTCGTTACAGCGCCGCATTAGCAGGAGAGGATCTAAGGAGGTGACCAGCGCAGACCCTAGGCCCAGTTCGGCTGGCGTTATGGGCGTTATGGCCTTTTTAACGGGCCCCGAAAAACGCCGGGTCGAAATAACGACGAAGCCAAGATGCGCTAGCTTTGTAACTTCGGGTTGCCCCGGATCAGTGATCCGCCGCATGGTGCTGGCTCTCGACGATGGACCATGCGGCGGATCACTGGTGTGTCTGTTTGCCAGGGGCGACGGATTCCTGGAAGCATCTAAGGGCTGAAAACGCCAGCATTTAGAGGTCTGTTCGGCTGGCGTTTTCAACCGCTCAGGCTCGGAGTAGATCCGCTTATATCGAGCCTTGATAACCTCTCAGACGGTTATCACGGAAGGTTCCAGGGTGGTCGGTTTACTGTAACCTGTCCCCGAGCCTGCGAAATTAACGCCTGCCGAACTGGGCCCAAATCACTGGCGGCCGTGGTTGCGCTGCGACCTCAAAATAATGAAAAAAAGCCTGTGTTACAGTTGTCCACTCATACATTCACAAGGAGATGGGTTCATGTAGAATACTTTGACAAAAACGAAGCACTCCCAAGAGAGTGTTGACTTGATGGTACAGTTCCCAACTACAGTGTTCCATCACAGCAAAGTAGTACTGTTTACTGTACTTGCACCTCCCTCATTCTATGCTTTGAGAAAACTTGACTGCATTTGTGTCACATCTGCTATTCGAGATCCTAACGAGTGTGGCATTACAAAGGGAGATGGAACCCTGGTTTTGGAACCCTTGATCGTGCACCAACCCTTGGTCAGGAACCATTGAACGCGGAGATCCCAGGGAGCCCTTGGCGGCGCGACGTGCTGTCACGCGCCCACTCAACACGAGCACTGCTCCCCCTGCCCTCGACACAATGACCCCCGACGCGGCTCCACTCAGCATCAGTCACGAGGATTCGAGAAACACTTGGATGGGGGCAGAACAAAACGTTTCCAGTCCGCACACTTATCATCTTGGGCTCTCTGAACCGTCGATATATCACATCTAAGCCGTCCATCATATTGACGGGCAAAGTCGCAAGAAACGATACACGCGAGTCGCGCATGTCTTCTCGTGCACACAACCAATGTAAGACATATCAAGGATTTGAACAAGGCTGACCAGGCGAGAGAGTCACGAGTCACAACTCCCCCATCACGACTTCACGAACACATTTCCGCCCGCCCTCACTCCACACCACACCCTCTCGCGCCTCCCTTCATCCCCGGCAGCATTGAGAGTGAGCAGCAGCACCAGCAGTAGCGCCCCGCAACCAGCACCTCCTTATTACCTTACTTCCCTGCCCTGCACGTGCTCGATGCCCATGACCCGCTATCACATGAGACACTCTCGAGCCATCCATGAACGCCATCACTTTTCTCCACATTCAACCCTCTCTTTGTTACTCCCTTATAGTTTCACCCCAGCTCCGTTTCGATCACACCTGTGACTTGGCAGCACGTTCATAGAGACTCGGTCAGCGGCATTAGCAAGAATAAGGTTGCGTAGAGATATATAGCGCAGTTTCCGTGCCCCTGAAAGCTCGACCTTCAGTGATTGCCAGGAGAATCTCTCTTCCTGCTGGGGACAAAGTAACACGCGCCTGTTCTTTCAGATTCGTCTCGAGTAGCCACTGCCGATCTGGTCTTATCTAGCTGCGCGAATCTCTTAACGACTTTAAGATCTTAACAGTTCCCTGTCAAGCATCTAAACACCAACTCTAGCCTGTTCCTCCGCCCGCCTAGATCCGCAGCATCTTGGGTGTCGGCAGAATCGCTAGCATCGCCAGCACCTCTAGGCTTGGTAGGCCCGCTAGCACTGCCAACCAATATCGTTATCCACGATGGGGGACAAATGGCTTAACCAGTCTGTAAGAGGCCGCAATCGCAGCAGCACCCCCAAACACCTCTCCAAGCAGCCGCGCCGCTCCTTTCCCCGGGATTCCGGGCCCACGTGGGACCACCACACGCAGGAGCGCCGCCGCCTAGTGCGGCCGCCATGGCGACCGGCGGCGATGGAGGGAGCCTACGACGAGGAGGAGGAGGACGAGGAGGATTCGTCGGAGGAGGAGGACGACGAGGAGGACGAGGGGTGCTGGGCGCACTGCTGCGGGGAGTGCGTGCGGTGGCAGCGCGTGTGCGCGGCGCTGCTGGCGTTTACGATCATCACCGCGCTGCTATACTCTCTCTTCTCCGCCGCTGAGATTCTCCCCGTACGCTCCGCTCCGCTCCGCTCTGCGTCCCCCGCTTTCGTTTCCTACTCGTGTTTCTCATAACTCCCCGCTTCGAAAATCTGCGCTGTTGTCCCTTCCGGTCCCCCTTCCTCTCCTCCCCTCCCTCCCTTGCCATAACGCAACCACCACTCACAACGCGACGTACCTTGACATTCCTTTCCTTTACTCGCGTCCTTCTCCCTCCTTCATTCGCTCACTACCTTGTCAACCTCATCATCCGCCCCCCCCTCTTCCCCCCCCCCTCCCCCTCCCGCTACTCCCGCGCGCACATCGCAGTCGTCGTTAAGTCTCGCAATGTCGGCTCCGGAGCAGAAGCCGTCCAGTCAGCCAGTCATCAGCGCGGAGCCATCAGGTTCGCGCACTCTCCAAGCCCTCTCGACTTGCCTTCTCTACTCTCTCTCTCTACTCCCACTCTCCTCCTCCGTTTTCCTCGTTCCATCCTCGTGTCCGCTCTACTCCCTCCTAACCCCGCTTTCCGGCCTCCCTCCTCCACAATCGTATATTCCGCGCTTTCCCCGTCTTCCCCCCTCCCACTTGCGCTCTGCCAGCCCCCGACAGCCTTGCGCTGGGAACCATGTTTCCCACGCTCGCCCCCAACGCGGCGCAAGCGCAGCAGGCGCAAGAGCAGGCGCAGCAGGCTACTGAGGCGCCTCAAAAGATGTTCCCCGCGCTTACCCCCAACACTGCGCAGCCGCAGCAGCTGCAGCCGCACTTGCTTCACCAGCAGTTGCAGCAGCAGCTGTTGCAGCAGCGGCAGCAGCAGGAGCAGCTGCAGCGGCTGCAGGAGCAACAGCAGCAACTGCTGCAGCACTTTCAGCAGCAAGTTTTGCGCCCCGCGCACGCGCGCTCTGCGGAAGCGCAGGCGCAGCAGTCAGCGCAGCCAGTAGCTTTTGGGGGGAACCCAGCAGTGGGTGCGGAGGCGGTCGAAAGGCCTGTGATTGGAATATCCGCAGTGGGTCAGGGTGAGGTACCCACTCCAGCAGTGGCTTCAGAATTGCGGCAACAAGAGCCGCAAGAGCCGCCGCAGTTGGCAGCGCGGGTTCCGCAGCAGCAGCAGGTGCAGGCGCAACTGTCGTCGCAAGAGTTAGCGCAGGCGGAAGTAGCGGCCGCGGTTTCGGCGCAACAGCCAGCGCAACAATCGGCGCAGCCGGCCCCCCAGGCGGAGATTGTTTCCCTTCTGGACACGCGCGCTGCGCGCACCTCCGCGCGTCTAGGCGGACACGCGCTGGGGGGATGCGGAAAGACATTCCCGCTAGCCGCCGAGGTAACAATCCTGATATTGACCCACCCGCCCGTGGCTCTTCATCCTTCCTCTTCTTCAGCATCGCGCCTCATTCGTGCTCGGATGAGGCGCCTCATACGGATGATGGCATCTCAATTTCGACTCGGAAGTCGGCAGTCTCTTTGCCTGAATTGCATTAAGCCCTCTCTTTTCCTCATTCAGCCTCCTGCCTCCTCTCTCCCCCGTCCTCCATCCCGTCCCCGCTTTTTTCCTTTCCCCTTCCCCCTTCCCGCACGGATGCGCCAGGGCGCGCCGGGCGGAGGGCAGCACCGCAAGGTGAAACTCGACGACTGCAATCCCGCCCCCGCCGCCGCTTCCGCTTCCGCCTCCGCCTCCGCCTCCGCCGTTTCCGCTGCGCAGAGCGCGGTCTCAGATACGCCCGTTGACGTGGCGTTTGATGACTCGACAGGTGAGAGCCAGTAGCGAGGATGAAGGGGAGCAAGCGGCAAGAGAAGGGGTTTGTGGAGGAAAGAAGGGAAGGGTGGGGAGAGAGGGGGGGAAGGGGGGGAGGGGAATGGGTGTGGAAATGGGGGGACTGGTGTAGTCGGTGCTGCATTGCCATGTGCTCAATCAGTGCCACGTGGCTACATCCCCGCATTCCCTTGCTCCGATGCATCTACGTTGCTTGGATGCTTTAGTGCGTGGGGTTTAATCCCCACCCATCCATCCCGCCCATCCCAATGCATGTCTCACGTGGGTGTACGCATTTTGAATCGCATGTACGGGCATGCATGTCTCACTGCGTTAGAGCCTGGGGGGGTAGAGGAGGGTGCATTGCGCATGTCTATGCCAGTCAACCCTCTGGCATTGGGCTGTGCATGCAACCCGGCGAAAGCAGGAATCGGCAGGACTGCAGTGTGAGATTGGGGGCTGGTTGGGGAGGAGTCTGAGAGGCCAGTATCCTGAGAGGCAGAGAAAGTTTGAGTGTTGCCTTGTGCCCTTCAGAGAATGCTCTTATAACCGCCCTCCCTCTCTCACGCCCGCAGATGTAACTGTTCCGGGCGTTTCATCTCTGGGGGAAAGCGATCCTGGGCAGCAACAAGAAGAGGAAGGGGACGCAGCGCAGGCTGCACCAGAGGAGGAGCAACAGCAGATGCAGCCGCAACAGCAGATGCAGCCGCAACAGCAGATGCAGCCGCAACAGCAGCCCCAGGAGCAGCAGGATCAGCAGGAGCAGCAGCAGCAGCAAGAGATGCAGGTGCAGTTGGAAAATTCA